TCGCTCGCCACTGAGGAAGGACTAGCGTTGTCCGAAAGCTCTGGTTCTTATTCTGGCTGTTTACTTACGTTTACTTTGTAGCTATTGGTTATCAAATTTGTATCTCTAGTCATTTTTTTCCAACAGCATTGTTGTTTTTCCGTATTTTAACTTCTATATCCCATTGTCACTATTACGATCACATTAAGATAAGATAAATAACTTTTATATTTTTTTCCTTGCAAAATAAAAGAAAAGGAAATTCCTCTTTCATTGACATACAGTAAAAGATTTAAAAATATAATTTCACAAACCACGAAAAACATCACAAGGCCTACACACAGATAAAGTAATGAATAAGATAAACTAATAGCACTATCCCGTATTTAATTACCATTGAATATAACAACACCTTCATTGTATAGATGGATGGTATTTCCCACAAACGAGTATCGAAATCGGCTTCACCTAGCACTAATTGCTCCTAGTCTAATTCCAGACCTCATGAAAATAAGCAAATTATAAAGTGGATGAGATCGGTCTTTAAGTATTTTGCATATTTTTAACATTTTTAATATAAATGTTTTCAAAATTGTGCCATCTTCCTCACTCTCTCCATTTTCTTATTATTACCACCAAAATCACCAAAGGTGCAGACAATACCAAAAATAAGCACACTCTGTATCACATATTGGTAGAAAAGTTTAACAATTATTATCTCAACATTCAACAATCGTAGATTTTTAGATGTTTATTCTACATCATATCCAATTTTTTTTTTTAAATGCAACCAACCAAAGTTTGCTGGACTATTATAAGCATTTCCCATTCTATTGTTGATAGACCAGCTACAGATTTTAAACCAACTCTAATGTGCTCGGGCATTTGCTAGAAATCTGTTCCGACACAGTAGTATCGTCTATGTATGTAACAATGGGAAGTTTAACTTTCAGGTCGTTGATAAAGTTAATGAAAAGAATTCGCCGCGCCCGGACTCTTGAGGCATATTCCCTTCGGACTTTGCCACATAGAAAAGTGATTGCCTATTCGTACTCTATGCATTCTGTGGAAGTTTACTTAGACAACATATACAAGACGACGACAACCATGAACGTTCCAAGGTTCTTTTAATTGCCAATTATTAGGACTCACGATTCACAATCATCACACGATCAAATAATGTCGATGTGCACACATCGACTCTAAACAAAAACCCTTGTAATAGTAAAATTACAGTCTCAATACATAATCATTATTGTATCATGCATTACAACAGTAATCAACTATAAATGTTACTGAACGATAAGGTTACTCTCAGGTACAGCATTACTATACGACACTATTATATCAATTAATCATTACGATATTAATTAACCATTACAATATCAATGCATATTAAGTAAAATAATAATGTATATTATTAAAACAAAAACTAACTTAGGAGGTACACAACCATCGCTAATAGACATCACCTGCCTCTATACAATTCTACTGTATTCAATCTACGATTAAACTTTTATAATTCGTTATCTATGTAAAGATGACGATAATAGCATACCATTAAGAAACGAGTCCAATAATACACTCTACAGCGTTCACACACAGCTGTACCACAAACAACAGCATTTCTTGGTTGCAAACGTGAGAATACTACCTAATATTGATAGGCCTACTCGAATCAAATATAAATCTATCACATTATCAAATATCATTAAAGATATAGCAATGTATAGAGTTGAATAGAAAAATACTGTATAATGATCAATATAACAATTCATTAACATACCTGAAAACAAAATTAAGTTTACTTTACGTTGCCAAACCAGCCAACTACTATCCCGTAAAGTAACGACGGAAGTGTTTAACAGCCAGAAACGACTTGAGGACCAGATAAATGTGTATATTGATGTTAAAAATTTAAATTTCATTCTGGTGTATAATCGTAATTTTATTTTCGTTTAGCGAGAAAAATGAAATAAAATTAATCTAATTAATTTTTTTATGCATTTACAATGAAATTCTTGATCCATAGATAATAAATAAGAATAGCGGCAATGTAATAATCGTATGCGTACTGTAGCCATTTAACGAAAAATGATTTCATAATATGTGACCTCAAGGTGAGTTTCAAATCGAACGTATTATCGGTGAAATACTATTAAAAGAATTCTTAAGATACATTTAAACCAATTTGGCAAATTGGTATCGACTGTCGATGCCCTTGTTTCAATAATGTAAAAATGGTTTGAAGTTGCGAACAAAGGTAATGATGAAACCAGGGTCTTACTTTTAGACTACAAAAAAAAAAAACATTTAACTTGTTGACCACTTGATCCTAATTTTTTTTTTCAAACTCCACAAACTAAATGTTAGTACAACTTTTGTAAAATGGATTTAATCTTTTCTAAGCTACAGAATGTGTTCGAAAAGAGTAAACATTTTGACCTCTGTCATGGTGCATAGGTATTGCATCGCGAAGAATCGCATCCAGGTACTTACACTGTCTGTACCTGATGTAATAGTGCACGTAATGATTGCTTGTCTGGCTAGGCCTATCATGATCATTATTCACACACTCCTAATAAGAAAATGTATAACTACTGTAATTTAACTATTTATTTAATAAAGCCTGTCCATTTCAATTTTCATCCAGTATTTTTTCAATCTATTCAAGTCTGTGAATTTGCTATTAATCGTTAATCCATTACATTTAGAAAAACACACAATTAGAAATGCGTTTGAATCAAATTACCAAAAGACCAGTAGATCAAATCACTGGAATTTTCTAGTACAGTCAATTTCTATATGAACTACGTAAGTTTTAAATAGCTACATAACACATTTCAATGTGTTTATATTGAGACAGGTACTACAAAAGGTTCAAATAGCATACTATTTGGATAATGTAATGTAGTAGAATCCAAACCATTATGCTCCTCATTATCGATACAAAATTTGTTTACAAACTGCTTATTTAATAGATTTGCCAGCTCTTTGGCATCTGTCACCATGTGTTATTATGCCAATACATGTGTAATATTCCACCCATACCAATTTAAGAGTACTATCGTTAAGATTATGGCACTCTAAGGGTTGTAAGGATGTTCTTAAAACGCCACCATCTTGAGAATTTCTGTCCTTTCTGAACACTGTATAATAATTATTAAAAAGTTGACTATCAAATATCCAGTCGTCAAGTCAGGTTTTTGAAATAGCTATGATGCCATAACAAATGATGAACTAAATCGACATTTATGTCACATAATTTGTTTTTAAAACTTCTTACATTGTAATAGAAAATATTCAGCTTATTACTATTAGAATCAAACTTGGAATTTATTTTATTGTTTGGATCAAGAGATTATTGTATGTTATTATCAGAAGCATTTATAATTAATCTTTGGAACAACACTATGAGTATTTTCATTAGTGTTCATTGATAGAGTTGAATCTTGTTCACATTCTTTTTCTTGTGTTATAACTTCGGCCGTTTCTTTAAAATATAGTCTTATCATAAATATATTAACATTTGTAAAATATCGATGAATTATCATTATTCCATATATCATCGTGAAAATACGAGTCAATAATATTAAAGTTGATAATCCTCAAATAAGCTATTACAGCACAGATTTCATACAATATTGAACAACCACATACTTTCAATTTACATAATGATTTAACAATATTTCAACGTCTTCAATGTAGGCGTAACGGTGGTGATTTTCAATATTACAATGAGAGTAATGTGAAGATAATTATTAGACAATTTGTGTACTGCACAAAAAATAATAATAGAGAGTATAACTTAAGTCATATTTTATTTAATTGATATGTGAACGGTACTACTCAAAAACTAAGGTGTCTGAGCCGCTAAAGCGACAACACTTGACTTTTTAAGCGATTATTTAGGGCCAATTAATCTTATATATTCACGAAAAATATAATTGATAATATTTTGTTTAGTAAAAAGAAAAAAATATATATTTTTTACACAAATAAAAGAGGCGGATAATATGATATAGAATCCAACGATTCAAAGCGTTACAACTTATCAACCATACACTTTTAGAAAGTCTTCAAGAAGTCCATATTGTTCATCAGACAACCTCTGCCTTCATAGGATTTGATCAAGTTTCTCCATGTTTCATGTGTTTCCAACAGATGTTTATTACCTGTCGAATAAGTGCATATAAGTTAATTACAATTTTGTAAGGCAAACTATATGTAAACTTTGTTAATATCACCGATCGTATTGAACTTTAGCTACAATCACAGACCTAGCTTAGATATTAATTATACTATATTAATTAGTATTCATTATGATGATATTTTTAATAGCTTTTCACGCACTACAGGATAATCCATTGTTTTTATAGGGTTTTTTCCTCTCCCGTTTTCCTAATGCTCGGTTTCCATAGAATTGTTCATCCTATCAACGACAGTCGTCAACAGTTTTCGGGAAAGTTGAACATGGTTCAATTCTGCCGATTGCGTTGCAGACGAATCAGGGTGCATTGCTAGCTGCCATGAAGCAATCGGGAAGGCACCCCGATTCGTCTGCCGATAGGGTGAGCGATTCTATGGAAACCCAGCTACAGTTTTTTTTCACAGGGTTTTTTTGTCCGGTACTTTTGTCATTATCATGCTTGGATCTTCTTTGTTTTTTTCCACGCAAAGACCATATATCAAATATGTGCATATTTAAATACGACATTATTCTATATTGTTGGAATCTTAACAAACGGGTAATTTCTGTTTTAGAAAAAATTGCATCTTCTGAAGATTCAAACTCGAAATTACCAACCTGTGAAATTACGCTTTGAAGACAAACTATAATGCACTGAACCATATACAGGGTCAGGTTGTATGGTGCAGTGGTTCGAACATCATCATTATCATTATCATTATTCGTAGTGGTTATTTTTGTATGATTCCAATATCCAATCTCTTTTATTAATAATATTATATTATATTTCTGTACGAATTTTTATAGAGTAAACTAGTAGGCCTATTATTTTATTATAGGCTTACCAATCAAAATTAGACCTCGTTTTGCTCGCGTGATTGCGACATTTGTTTGGTTTTCATCTATAATGAAGCCAAGAAACTTCTTCTTCCAACCGATAGTAGGTTTTTCTTCAATTTGCACGAGTGGAATGGATCGTACGGTTGACATTATGACGTAATCACTCTCACTTCCTAGATAAAAATAGAGAATTACTATTACATGTAATACCTATAAAGGGAATGATAGCTACTAAAGTGATGTTGAAGATTATATCGAGACGTAAAAGGATAGTATTTATGGATGGATCATAAGATGTGATAGGATTTTTTAAAAAAAGTAAAAAAAGATAAATACATAGAATAATAAATGGCGCTATCACAAAACATACTAAAAACCAATGCATAAATTTAGAAATGGCGTGGAAGATGGATACGACTAGGAAAAAAATAATTATGACATTCAAAAAAAAGTACAAAAAGATATATACATAGGATACTAAATGACGCTATCACAAAACATACTAAAAATAAAAATGATTATTACAGAATACAGAATACAGAATACAGAAACTTTATTAGTCATAACGAGTATGAACATGAGAATGCTGAACTGTATGATGATTGGGTGGCTGATAAAGAGAACGATAGTAAGGCGTATGGTATAGTAATCATTAAGTAAATAATTATAACAAAAGGCAGAGAAGTATAGAAATTAGGAGAATGATGCCGTACAATAAACAGAATAGCAACAATCTTATTTTGTTCTACCACCACCAACAATGTCGCCACTACAGTTAGAATGATGATGATAATTATGGGAATATGCTGAAAGATACCGGAAGGCGATGATAGATGAATATGGTGTAGGTGATAATGATGAGGAGGTGGAGAATGAGGATGATACTGTTGATACCAATGATGATATGATGGAAGAACAAAGAGCGATGAACTAACTAATGTAAGCCTTAGTACACAAAAGCCCAACATTATAATGAACGAGGATGAAGATGACTACGATGCCCAAAAACGTTGTCAGTGATGGACTAAGAATGTGATTGGAAAAATAAAAGTTTAAAAACGTTCATTGTAAGGAGAATGGTGGAATAATCTATGTTATACTCTCCCACGTTACTCACCTTGACTTGTGATGACGGTTGTGGCCCGTACTTTACTTGTTGTACTGTCACTATTTAGCCTTTTCTTAATTTCACTTAGCTGTAACCGGTACTGAGTCAAGACTAGAATGTCCTGCGCTTTAATTCTTTTCGCCAATAGCTTCCTCACAATCTTCATCTATTGAAAAAACATCCAATCAATAACCACATTTAGTGACGGATCCAGCAGGGGCGTGGCAGATCCAACAGGGGCGTCATGAGCGCTTTCCCTAAACGGATACCGGTGTTTTATACATATATAAGTTTTTGATATTATTATCATAATTATTATTATTATTATTATTATTATCGTCGTCGTCACCACCCCAGCCGTCGTCATCGTCATCGTTGTTGTTGTCGTAGTAGTTGTTGTTATTATTGTTATTGTTATTATTATTGTTATTATTATTATTATTATTATTATTATTATTATTATTTTCTTACTATTATTATTATTATTATTATTATTATTATTATTATTATTATCATCATCATTACTATTATTAGCTAGGTTCTAAGTGGTCCTGATTCAAAATTATTTCCGGCGCCCTTGGTGCATAAATTAGCAAATAATAGATTTTAACTGAAGTTAACCCACTGTACTAATACCATCCCTCGTCAAAAACCATTCCGGGTGCGAACCCATTTATGAAATCCAATACAGTATTCTTAAATTTATTATTTTTTATAAAGTAAGCTATAGTAGGCTACGCGGGGCACCATCATGGTTCTTTGTTTTCGGGGCAGGAATATGTATTACTAATGTCTTATTATATACTGGATAAACGTGCTTTTATTAAAGTAATCTAGGCTTACATCTGTTGCTATTAGACATTGATTGTTTCGCAATCTATGTTTGGGGACTAGAATACAGTAATTATTATTTAAGTAAAAGTACAAATATAAAACATGATCATTTAAAGAGAAAGAAACCTAAACAGGACATATTTAGCGTTTTGGTTGATAAAAACTGAAATCAGTCCGATATGTTTGTGTATTTCCATTTTTTGTTAGTAGGGTAGCCCTCTCAGTAGAAAACATTGCTCTTCCGAGGAGCCCATTCTTACATTAAAATCTACAAAAAAAAAATTGAGGAAACCTTATTCTATTAACTTTTGATTTTGGAGTAAAAGACTACTGGTACGATTTTAATTTATTTTAACTTGTTGAATTAATTCGACTTGAAACATAAATAAATTGATCTTCACGCTCTGGAGATGTAGAACCTACCATTTATTGCTATTGTTGCTTTTTACGAGTACTACTGTAGTACGGTACACAAACGCCACAAGTGTTTTAACGCCTATGTGGCTGGGAAACGCTTAGTGCATCGAAACCGTGTGCAAAATCATACCACTATGAATATTTCACTTTTATATAAAGTGAAGTCACAACAAAATTAAATATGGCTTGTGACTATACCCAGAAGCTGTGTGTTCGTATCTTTTATAGGGGAACTTTAGTGTCGAACCATCGAACAATATACATTGCAGCTCTGAGACGCATAGTCCTTAAACTGTATGAACTATGGGAAAAGGTGAGTTATTAGAGATTTGAAATAAAAAATAGTTCAAACTTAGCAAATATTGGGGAAGTTGGTTCCTGAGAAAAGCTGAAAATGCATTTTTCTTCTAAATGCTTTTTCTATTTTTTTCTAATCAGCACTTTGTAACGTTTTCACACTCTGTCAAAGGATATGTCATACATCAAAAATGTGATAAGCAAAATTTAGTTATCTAACTTAAACTTTCATTTTGGTGACGGTCCAGGTTCGGGTGTGAATGTGTTGGTCATTTAAAGTACCTAAGTATCTCAAATAATGATATCAATGAATCTGAGCGAAAATATAAGAGTAAGGTATGGATATTTAATAGTAAACGTCACACACCCGATATCCCGAAAAAGATCAACTGATTAGAATAAATCTATCCGTCAAGATTAACCAAGTTACAAAGAAGACATTTTTACATTTTGTGACGATAAAGAGTTAGGGGTGCGTTTGGGAATCACAAATGAAACTTTTAGAATGCTTTCATGGTCAAAAGGAGAAAAAATACATACATTTTGGTGAAGCAAGCTCTTGATACAGGTGAATGTATTTTATCGGTATATTTAGACATGTCTGCTGCATTCGATACTATTGATCATAATATTCTCCTTAATCGCTTAATTGACATTGGTATCTCTGGTTCTGCACTCTGTTATTTCCAGTCGTACTTATATTGCAATGGTATCCTATTTGGGCTTCCAGATACTCTTATAAAAAAAATTACAACTACATCTTAACTCGGCCGCACGTCTAATTAAGCTCACCCCAAAGTCACAGAACATCACGCCAATACTCAAACACCTATATTGGCTTCCAGTTCGACAGCGTATCAACTTCAAAATTCTTCTTCTTGTGTACAAATCGCTCCATAACCTATCACCCACGTACATGCAAGATCTTCTCAGACTACGCTCATCCACTTGTTCCCGAGCACTCAGATCAACTACAAGTTTATCAACTTTGTTTGTTCCTGGGTGCCGTTCGAAAACATATGGTGAGAGATCATTTCGTGTTGCGGCTCCAAAAATGTGGAATGCACTACCCGTTGAAGTCCGTGAATCAGCGTCAATTGACATCTTTAAAAAGCGACTCAAAACCTTTTTATTTGCCTCTTTATAGCTACTGTTTTCTTTTCTTTTTCCTTTTTATCTGTTTCACCTTGCTAGCTAGTGTTGTTTGTTCCAGGTTAGGAGGCACCTGATCCCAGAAAAGATCAAGACTTAACCGATGCTAACCGGAGTACATAAACACAGATCTCCGGTTGGCGGTGATGGTGTAACCCCATACTTCGGTTTGGGTGCTAGCTTGGTGTTTTTTTTCCCGGCTTTTTTCTTTGTGTTCTTGACTTCATTATTGTCTAGCGCATAGAGACCTCGTTTATTTGCGCTATATAAATCCATCTATTATTATTATTAAGACCTTCAGTAGTGTGTAGATATTAGGACCATATAAAAGGTTATTTTTGGTCCGCGCGGAACGCTGCCTCAGAACCTCACTGCTGTTCTTGTTCTTGTTCTTGTTCGTGTTACCAAAACTTAGATTTAAAAGCGTCCAGCGTCGCCAGTTTTGAATGGACGTGCATGGAATTTTGTACACATAAAATAGAAAATGATTTCCAACAAAAGTCCATCGCCCTTTTTGAGGTTGGACCCCAGGGTTACCCCTACACCTACAAAACAAAACAGGGGTTTCAAACTTTAAAAGCGTCCAGCGTCGCCAGTTTAGAACAGACGTGCAGGAAAATTTTGTACACATAAACTAGAGGTGATTTTCAACTAACGATTTTAAGTTGGACCTTAGGGTTTCCTCTACACCTACATTACAAAACAGGGGTTTCAGCAAGTACTGTAGATTATTGCCCTTACCACTAATAGCGCACGTCGCATGAATAGCAATGGTCGGTTAAGGATGTGTTCCAAATAACCTAATGTCGTAAGTTCAAATCGTGTCTAGGCAGTGGCGTAGAAAAATATTTTTCTTTGGGAGGGGGGATGATTGGCGTGTTAGCCAGTGTCGTAACAGGCGCGGGGGGAGGGGGAAAACTGCCCCTTCCCTTTCCCTGACGGTTTTTACCGGGCTGACCAAGCCGTCGTACCGGGCTGGGTAATAAGAGAAAAGAAAGAGGGGAGAGAGAGGGAGGGAAAGAGAAAGAAGAGGAAAAGAAACGGAAAGAAAAAGAAATAAATAAAGACAAGAATAAAAAGGAAGATATCATAATGACCAGACTCACAACACCCTACAACCCCTTCTCGACTTCAAAAACTGTCATAACTCCTTTGATCTATGCTGCCCAATGGCGTAACCACTGGGGGACAAGGGTAAAATATCTATCTTTGAAAAATCTTCCCCACCCCTTTATAAATGCCCTTTTCATCCCCTGAAAGTGCCTAAAAACCGCGCGCATTTCTTGTTAACATGGGCCAATTTCCTCTAAAAATTGCACATTATAGGGAGTTTTGACCAATTGCAACGAAATTAGAATTAAAAACACCGGGGGACAATTGGGGAAAATATCCATCTTTGGAAAGTTTTTCCGCACCCCTTGACAAATGTATCCTCTGAAAGTGCCTAAAATTTTCAAGTTGTTTGCGCGCATTTCTTGTTACGGTAGGCCAATTTCCTCGGCCCTATAAATTGCACATTTTAGGGAGTTTTCATTAAGTCCGACGAAATTAGAATTAAAAACACAAAAATATTTTGCGCGCTTCGCGCGCATTTTTTAGGGCTTTTTGAGGTTTATCCTTTTAAGTTATTTAAACACATAATAGTTCAAAACTCAAGAAAGACAAATTTAAGATAGATCGTTTTAATCTAAAAGAAGGGCCTCAATGTGTATTGATGGTGAAAGAATATGTTTGTAATAAATAAAACCATGACGAAAATGCTTAGGCCTATATTTAGTTTAAAACACACACGTGTGGCCTATATTATACATAAGATAAGCCCTATGTCGTATTGTTTTCTATATGGGGAGTGGGGTGGGG